TAATTGGAAAGTGCTTTCATTGCATACAAATTTGATTTAATCTGAAGTTAATGGACTTGATAAAGAGGATCGTTTCCATGGATTATCATTGCTTTTTAGTGTACTATTGCCCTACTCCGGTTCTTACATGTTGTATAATGGTGTGGTGATGAAATGATGCATTTTTATTTCATATAAGGTCAGTGGGCACACGCTCATTGTATTAAAGAGTACATTGTTTGAACTGAGGGAATGAAACGCTCAAAATAGCTTTGCAAAAAGGCATGGCATTTACTGACTGTCAAGAATCCTTTTCATCAAGCGTACAACATCGTGGTGGACAAATCGGTAATCCCATTACCAAGGCGGAGTACTGCATAAATACTAATGGGTTTTCACTCAATTTCAGTCGTTATGGAAGGATATATCGCCATGGGAATGATATATAATCACATTTTTTTTTACTTTGATGTCTCAATTAACTTGACCTGTGATTCACTCTTCTTTTTGTCCTTCCCACCCCATTTATTTCTCTATTCAAATTAAAAGTCACTTACATTTCTTCAACATGGAGACACTTCTCCTCCACCCTCCCCCCCCCCCCCCTCTCTCTCTCTCTCTCTCTCTCTCTCTCTCCCTCTCGCTCTGTCTATCTCTCTCTTTCCCTCTCTCTCCATCAGTCTGTTGTCTGCCTCACTCAAGCAACCCCCAAAACTCAATCTCATTTCCTTATAACTGTTGAAGGAAATTCCAACACCCACAGAACGAGACAATTGGGATTTGTTACAGACAAAGCTAGGATTACTCTGCAATTCCCTCATGAGATAACCCACTAATCACTCCTACATCGTTGTAAATTTCCTGGTATTTGGCAAAGTACAGACACCCTGCCTGCCCTGTCGACGGAGCAGACCAACTCTAATTATGTAATGACTTTGATCCTCGTCAGCTACATGAATAACTCCCACACTTTTTTTAATTAATTTTTATTTGGATACTTCTCTTAATATCATAATGCGCCTGGGAGCAGTTTGATATATAGATGGCGCAATATGTGAGTGCATTATATTATTATTATTATTATTACCTACGTGCCATGTGTGGAGAAAACCAATGGCTAGATAATGGAAAAAATTCATTTTTGTAGAACAATGTTAGGATGTACAATCAGTGACTACCTGCAAACTATAAAACCAGAAACTTTTGCAACATGAAACTTGTTTATTTTCCTGGCAAGAAGTTTTGTGAATTGCTTATTGTGATTCAATATGATTTTTCTATTTAGCAGCAGAATACTCTCGTGAATTTTGACCACTCAAAGTTCATACATGAAAGTCTTTGGTTCTATAAAAACTATCTTGCAGACTCTTTTCCACCTTTCTTCCCAAAGTTGCTACAGGTCAAAGGGTATTTGAATGATGTTATTGCTTACAGATACCTCCCGTTAGTACATCATTTCCTCTTTCGAGAACTAGAAGAGCGTTAAATCTGTGCAAAATGGTATGACTAAACATCATTATAGCTGTTACTGGGTAGCTTGTTCTTGATATGTTTCCTTGTAACATGGATATAGTTTTGTGGCCAATTATGTGCTCTAATTACAACACTCATCCATATTACAGGGCTTTGCATTTTTTGAAATATGATCTGGTTTGCTTCGAAAAAACTCGGTGGAGCTGCACAGACTAAGGTAATATACAAGAAGCTTCAAAATTAAATCAAGTAAAGTCTAGGCTTGAAACTAAAGCCTCCTCCTGGCCAATTAAAGGCGGCTTGACCAATTGCTTTTGTTTCTTGGACTCTACGGAGTTATCTTTCAACGAAACCTGGAGATGTCCTGCTAGAGATAATGAGCTAATTATAGGACGGTAGAGCTTGGCGCAACGCAATTCATTAAAAACCAGTGTATCTATCCTTTCCACCTCACAGGCAAGTATTGTCCTCTGGGACTACTGGGGAGGGAGAGAGAGAGAGAGAGGGAGAGAGGGAGAGAGGAGTGGACAGAGAGAGAGAGAGAGAGTGAGAGAGGATTGGACAGGGAGAGGAGGGGGCAGACAGATACAGAGTGAAGAAGAGAAAGAGAGAGAGAGAGAGAAAAAAAAATATATTATTTACGAGGAAGGTAATAGATTGATGGTATTAGATATGAGATAAGAGTGAAGATGAATTAGAGATGTCATCGTAACTTTCATAATACAAAATGGATGATGAATGGATGTTATCTGATAGTACATACAGATGATTAAAGCAGGAACAAGGTTATCATTAATTAAACAATCCACCCTCCATAATTCTTCTAGCTGTGGAATATATTTTCTCCGTTTTCTATTCCTGTTAAAGGTAAAGACCAGTTTTGGAAACGCCCCCCTCTCAAAAAATGAAATGGAAGCTTTTATTACCAATCATGTGAAAGAATATGTTTTGACTAATACGTAATGATACAAATTTTGCTGAGAAACCGCCTACTAATTGATACATTTGGTAAAATATTATATGTATTTGGACCTGATAGATATAACGCATGTGTCGCGCACGTATCGCATAGTCCCATATACATCTTTCTGTGTACAACTTTACCAAGACTGGGCCAAATTTCTTATCATTTTGATGATTCCAGAACCTTGCAGTATATGCTAGATGATCAACAATTTCTGATCGATTCCACAACGTTTCTTTCACAATGCAATTGCATGACCTTAACTGGTCTTTATCTTTAAAGCTTTTCCATTTTTTTTTTTTTTTTGGGGGGGGGGGGGGGGCTGGATCCCCTTCCTTTCCAGTCTCTATGTTATATTCTTAATTTCTTATATTCATTTATGCCCTGTTTTATCTATCCCAAATGCCTTTCGTAAGTAGAAAATTATAATTCATGCCTCCAACAATTCACACATCTAATAACGGTTATTTTAGAGGATGTAATTTAGGGATTTAAACTGAACTAGGAGGGGTAACAAACCACCACCACTGGGCAATTAGCAAGGGGGCAGGAAGAGGGTCATTGTATAAGGAGGGGGGACTCATTGTGAAAGGGAAGTCCCCACCCTGTTCGTTTGAATGAATGGGAGTCCAGGCGTACCCCTCTAAATGGGCGTAGGAAAGTTGTTTGTCCTCTCGTCATTGTATTGTGCTGGGCTTGTGAAGACAGATCTAATGATGAAGTCATTTATTCAATGGGTGTTATTATTATGAAGCAATTAGTGGTTGAAATGCATCCTGGTCTTTATCAAGTTACAGTTAACTCTCCTCTTTCAATCCTTAATTTTGGTATAATTTTTGTAACTACTCAAAGGTTACTTGCAATATAATACCATTATCATGCATGCATGTTTCTGTGAAAGTTTTGGATTCTGTAAATGATCTTTGTTAAATACAAAGATAATTCATCACAATCGAATATTATATCTTGTTTGCATTGCTTGACTAGCACCTTTAAGTTCCCATTTTGATTCCCATATCGAGTTCACTTAATTTTGACAGAGCAACAATCACATTATTTTCACATATAACCAGTGCGATGGAAAAAGGGGTAGGCTTATTAATCAATCAATTTGGCTTTCTTTGAGAGAAATGATGCCTAAAGGGGGTAAACATTCCATGATAACAAATTTATCAGAAATAGAATATCTTAGTTGATGACTAATGAGGCACACAATGGAGATTTAATGTAGCATAAGTAGAAAGTGTCTGAGCTTTATTGCGAGGGTTCCGAACTCTGAAATGATGAAAAGTGTGAAATTTGATTAATATGCAGTCGCGTGGTTTGATTGTACTTCTTCAAAAGGAGAATTTTCCTGTCTAGCGGTCAAATTCAGTTGAAATTAGGTGAGGTGTGTGTAAATATTTGCATGAATTAAAAGGGTTTAATGTGTCTAGCCATCTAATCATTGGGTAACAATGGAGCGGTGATTTAAATAGGGAAGCTATGACTAATGTGAAATACCCCCTCGATCATCAGTCTACAGCTACAGACTCTATTATTCCTTTTTTTGACCTATTGTGAGCTGCTTCCTGTTTTATCTCATTCTTGTGATAGAAGTGGCATCTTCAGAAATAAATGCCAAAAGCTGCCGTTGGATTTGTTCAATTGGTCATGAAACCGTTTCAGATTTCTTTTATTACTTTCTTCATTTGACACATAAGAATGAGAGATGCAGAGAGAGAGAGAGAGAAAAAAGAAGGAAAGTGATATTAGAATCAGAAATAGATTTATTTAAATTTTCTATCAGTCTTTATCAGTTCCTTCCAGTTTTCTTGAAATTACTTTGTTATCATACCTTTTCTCTGTCCAGTTTCTCTATATTTTCTTGCTTATTGACTTGATATCTATGTCTTGTTTTAGTTTCATTCAGTTGGGGTTGGTTGAACTACTGCAGTAATTTCATGAACAGACTGGGTCTGAAATCAAGACTATGTTCATGAAGTTACTTACCAGAGTTTATGACTGTTGTATTTGGAATGTTGGGAGAAAGTACAAACTATCTAATGAAATTACTTGAATAATAAATGGATTCTGGCACCACTTTGAGAAAATGTCATAAAATTGGATTCAAGTATAACATTGGGCACCCTCGTCTATAATAGGTCTTTGTGGGGGTGATTGGATGAAGGCGGAACACTGAAACTTTGCTTTACAAAAGCTAATCCTTTGGCAAGAACTTTATCTTCAGATGGGTCCATTTATCTTCATCAGGTCCTATTATTAGATTGTGACCATGCAAGTGAGAAATAACATTTTTACAGAGAGGAATTGACTCTGGGAAGGATATGTGTGAGGGTCATGATTTTGGAGGCACCCTTTATGTCTCAATTAGAGTTGATCCTAGTAGATTGTGATAAATGGTGCAAGTGTAAAGGCCTCCCATACCAGTGTAATGCTGTAGCACACTCACCCTCTAATCTTGAAATTCCTAGATAAGAAATACCCCTTTCTTGCTTTCCTCTCTACTGTACTTCCTCTTTATAGAATTTAATAATTCAAGTATGGCTTGACTTTAAATTATGTTGGTCTATGGCGTATAGGAAGGAGACAAGACTAGGCTTTGGGGAAGAATTAATCTTAGTAGATTGTGATGAATGGGTGGAGTGTGAAAGCTCTCTCAGTCCTGTGGCAGTGTCAGGTTTAGGGGAATGCTGTGAGGAGGAAGTAACTCCCAGATCCCTGTGATTGGTGGTAATAACACAGTCCTTCCTGTTAGCTGATTTACACCACGCCGTCCCTGCTCTGCTACTCCCCCCTCTCAGCTCAGTCGTTCTCAAGCTCTCAGGCTGGCTAGACTAAACTTGGCTAGACCTGCAAGCCAGTAAGAAAGTATCACTGGAGCTCTCTCTCTCTGAGCTCTGCCAGATAAGTTGCTGTAGTCACTATTTGGCATCTTTGAGGAGGAACATTTGCTCTCATTTCATCGCCTACACCAGCAAGAGCCAACATTGTGATTGATCAATGTTTTGTTATTGACTTCATTAGAGTTTGATGTCACTAGGCCCCATTGACTGATCGTGGATGTCATCCAAATTATTGTGATCGATTCAACGTGTCCGGGTACTATATCATTCCCACTCCCTGTCTCATATCAGTTAATTATTCAGAGGAAGTTTGTTCGAGTTCTTTCCTCAAAAGTCAAAGTATCTTTTCATCAGAACTCTTGCTTATTATGATGTCACTTTGTGAACGGATCTAGCCCTTTCTATCGGATCATATATACAGCGTGGTTGGTTTTTCCTTCCTGACTGGTAGATTTCCTGGAACGCTGGGACTCATACCACCACCTCCACTACATCGAGAACTAGTACCGGTATAACTTTCCCTTCTTGGACGATACACTTCCAGTTTGGAGTTCAAGAGCGTTTAGATCGCCCAGCTTTGCAAAGAGTGGAAATAAACAATCAGCGAACTGACAACTTCATTCTTGGTATTGCGATCATTCAGTTTAAGTTGGGTTTATTTTTTTGGACACTGGCTTTGATTGTCTGACCGTTTGATGCTAATGGTCAATCAGAGTTTGGATTCCTGCTGTCTTGGTGCTTCTAGCCCAGTTGAATAGAACAGCTTGGGGTGTTGGTCCTGCTGCGCTAGTTGATGGATGGAAAGTGGTGGACTAGCTCTCAAGCCATTTGGAGAAGCAATTACAACTTCTTGGTCAATTTTGGAATACAATTTGACCTTCTGTGGACTTTACTCAGCGAGACAGCGGGGCGAAGTGAAGGAATTTGTTTACTCCTAGGGTGATAGTTTTGATGAATATCATTCCTGGACGAAAATTTGGTGTTGAGTTGGAGAATAACGAATGCTTTGTTTCCTAATCTCATCTGGATTGTGCATTGCATTGTGCAATTGATGAAGGCAATCATCGCTTGGTAATTGTTTTGAAAACTTGTGCTCATAATTTATTGATGATTGTCACTGGGGTCGTGAGTAAGCGTGTATTGATCTATTCAGCAGTCAGTTTTCCGCTCTGCAGTTATCATCACCTTATTGTTTAAACGGATGCAGAGATTCATCGGTATGACTATCAGGTCCCCAAAGCTAACCTCGTCATTCATCTCTGCATAACTTCAATGCATCTTGGTATGACAGCTTGTCCCGTCATCTTTTCCTAAGCTTGACCCCACTTTCTCTTTGATGTCCAGCAAAGCATCTTAATCACTGTCTGCGATCATTCCGAACGATAAACTAAGACTCATTGTCAGCAAACCCCAGTGGCTTAATCCATGCACCAACACAAGTCTCGGCTCCATAATATCCATAAATATTTGATCTGAAGATCATCCCGGGAAGGTTCCGGGGGCCTCCGGTGAGGAATAAGGAAAACATTTTCCCAACACATCTGTGTTTGCCATCCAATCTTGACTGACTCAGTCCCATTACCGAACCTCATTTACTTGCCGTGATTGCGACGTCCCAACCCTCCTGAGCGATCCTTTTACCAGATACGTCCTAGTGGAGGGACTACTTCAATAAAGTAGCAAAACACTCTCTCTCTATCTCTTTTCCTCATTCCCTTATTTGGCTTGATGATCTAGCCCCCTCCCTTCGCTCCACCAATTTTGATATTATACCTCTACGCCTGCTGATCTTGACATGGATTATCGTAACGCTCTCTGATTTGGGGAGGAGGCTGTTGAGATTCAAACAAGACGCAAAGCAGGAGAAATTTTGTCTGGAGGAACTAAGCCGAGGATATTTTTAGCATTGGTCCTTGCCTTCTCGTGTCGAGAAACACATGCACCCATTTGGATTATTTCTGATCGGTTTGTGAGAATTATCTTGTCAAAATGCCGCCTGTAATCGCTGCTATTCCTGGACGTAGATTCTCCTTGCGTAGAAGGTAATATTGATATGGAGGAACAGCTGTTTACATTATTCCTCATGCAGACTTTATGTGTTATGAAATATTGAAATATATCTCAAGATTCAACAAACAAATATTTTAATACAGCTTCCTCTTTGTACAAGTTTGTTTTTAAAAATGCTGGTAGGCCTAATCCATTTGACCACTTCCCATGCAGACTTCATGTGTTTTGAAATATTGAAATTAGACTCAACCAACAAAGGTTTTAATAAATAAGCTTCCTGTTTGTACAAGTTTGTTTTTAAAAATGCTGGTAGGCTTAAACCATCTGATCACTTCTCATGTAGACTTCATGTGTTATGAAATATTGAAATTAGACTCAACCAACAAATGTTTTAATAAAAAAGCTTCCTGTTTGTACAGGTTTGTTTTTAAAAATGCTGGTAAACAATTTAACCATTGTATTTACTTGGTATATTTATATTATGATCGTATCAGTTCTGAATATATACTGTAAAGTGGTAAAAGAGTTCATTTCAATCAGAAAATTTGAAGTGTTTCAAATTTTCAATATCCATAATGATTCTGTTTTGAGAATGGTGTGATACAGGCTATGTGTGATGAATGATGTTTATGTTGTATGTATGTATGCTCCCCCTCCCCCTTCCAATGATACCAAGTTTAACCCATTATATATTAATTTCACAAAGATAACAAGATACAGGGAATACCTGAGTTTGCCTTATCCAGACTTGCCATTCGTAAAGTCACAAAAACTTTTTCAATTTTGTACTTTTTGGAGGAAATCAAATTTCATAAACTCAAAATGAAAATGAAATTTAATTATATGTATATATTTTTCTTTACAGGAGGAGAGAGATGGAGGGGCAGTTATACTGCGAGGAACACACACCAAAGGAAAAGCCTCCGGTGAATGGAGGCGTCGCTGTCAAGGTAAGAAATACAACTTTTTATTTGATATTTAAATGTAATAATGTTATGACATCAGAGATTATGGGTCATTTCAAAGTTAACCTCAGTTTACTTAAGTGATATTATGCGTAAAAAAAGTAGAAGTAACATATTTTTCCTTTGTAAATCAATTAAAACAATAGAAGTATAGACTTGGCCTCCTAAACTTGGCGTGGATACATTAAAACATCATGACGATATAGGCCTAGAAATAAACAAGAATGTATGCAAAGATATACAGTGTAAAGCACATCAAGTTTTGGCGCTCGTGTGTATTGTGTATGTTCTAATGATATGGAAGGAACAATTTTACTTATTTGGGGTTCTTGACTTGATTATCAGTCACCCAGTCTGTACTTTGGTGAAGCTTTCAGCACAGAAACGGTATTAGTGTGTCTCCTCCCCCTCCCCAGTCAGACCCAGCCCCAACTTCAGATACAGCTAGCCTTGAGTAGGGATACTTCAATCTGTGCATTGTCAGTATTTTATCGTTTCTCCAGCTTTCCAATCTGCCAAGCCATCATTTATGGAGTAATAAAGTAGCCATGAGAACAACAATGTTAGTGTTTCAGACTTGGCATGTTCAAAGACTTCCGCAATGACTCCTCAGGATTGCTATGACTTCTCAAGATCGGGAAGGGTTGTTCAATTCAGGAGGGAATGTTTTTAAGCCTGAGGGTTTGAAGCATCTGTTCCATCTTCATTTGTTTAAGGAGTTTGTTATTTTGTTGAGAGCCTGACTTCCTCTTACCAAGGTTTCCCACACCTGCCCACTTAAGTAGCCAGCAACTTACTGCAACTAGCCTTTTAATTATTTGGGGGAGGGGGCTTGGGGATTCCTAGGTATCCCCTGTTTTCATATTTTTAAAACTTTATTTCTGAGGCAATTTTACAATATGTGCGGCATATGTTTCACGGACACAACAAAAATGTAGAACAAGTTCCCATTCTCTTATATCCCTTATTTCTATTTCTTTATTTATATTTTTAAGGGAAAATTACATGTATATGTGGCTTGTTTCGCTGTTCTGTGTACAGACTACAGAGCAATTTGAACTGAAGATGCGTTGCATCTCTAACAGCCTTTTCACACACAGCTAAAATTCATCGTATCTAGAGATGATTAGAATCACTCAACAGTTTTAAACATGTTTATAGACAAAATTTCCCAGTGTGAACATCGTTTATACGATGTTGGGATAGATACGAAGTCGCGATCCATACGCCCCTAAAAGCAGGCTGCAGATACGAAGTTCGTATCTAGAGAGCTTGACATTTTGTGTGTGAAAGGAAATTCGTGTTTAATCGTGTTTAAACTGGATGGAGCGTGCGCTTTGATTGACATGACATGACCTTCAATGCGCAATGGCACTACTGCGCATTTTACGAGCAGTAGTTAATCACGAAACGATTAACGATCGCACCGAAATTTCTGTGTGTGTAAGGCTCGTGATTAGTTTAAACACGTTCGAAACACGTTTATACTAGTCATGTTTATAGAATTTTAGCTGTGTGTGAAAAGGCTGTATAATGTATCTTACTGACTGATAATGGTGAAAATGGGGGAATGAAAATGTAGTTTCTAAATTCTACCGTGTTCTTATTTCCTTCGATCAAAATTATGTTTTGCTGAACTCAGTGTGCTAGACTTGGTAGAAAAGTAAGAGCCCAAAGTAAGCTAGACCAGGCAGGGAGGTGGGAGGGAGGACACCTCCCTGGCTAGACTAACATGATACATCTGTGTGGGAACAGGTGAGGAAATTCAACATTTATATTGCCTGCGAGAGGAAGTAATAAAACATACATGGATTAGGATATGTCCTGTTGCTTTGGAAGGTCATTTGTTCAGGAGGGATTTAGGAATATCTTTGGATTATGTTTTGTGAGTGATTATGATTTGATTGGTTTGCAAAGGCAAACAGACGCAGCAAAAGAAATAAATCATCTACTGAGATCCACATGGATTTGAATGATTGGAAGATACTGCCCTTCTGAAGCTCAATAGACAAGCAGACTAAAATATAGTACAAAGTGTTGAAAAGAAAATGGGAGTTTTGTCACTGTTTGTAGGTTTGGAGAAGGCCGTGCATTCAAATTATGATAACTGCTATCCCCTAGATATTTTATTTTTTATTTTTATGAAACCAAAATTTACTAAATTCAAAAGTCATATCAAGTTAACTTATTTCTTCAAAGAATATTTTGTGGAACACAGTTGCCGTTACCAGTAGATATTTGCCAGCTTGATGGATTCATTGTTGTATTCTTCTGACAGTTGAAATTTGAATCAAATTGAGACAAGTTCATGGCATCTACCCGGGCAAGAAATTACAGTGAACTGAACTAGGGGCATTCACACTGCAGGCAAAAACCCTGTGTTTTTCTAACATTCCGGAGTTATGTCACAAGTTGCTAGACACTTCCCGTAAACATGATTAAATGAGTTTAAAAACCCCAAATAAAAAAAAAATCCTCTGGAGTATTCTTTTTTTCCAAACTCTGCTGTTTTCTTTTTTTGATCAATTTAAAAACCCTAACTGAAAACAACAGTGATTTCTTTTTTTTTTTGTGGGGGGGGGGGGGGGGGGAGGGGGGTCATTTTGTGATGTGATTCTTCACTTCTGCGCCATTGCATGCAGATCAGCAACAAGGTACTGAAGCCGCAACTCACAACATAATTTTGATTGTTTCAATGGCAAGCAAACACTGACAACTTAAAGGTAATACAAAGTTTTCGGAAAATTTGAAAATTGGGTGGATAGTGAATCTTTACAATTTTGATATATTTGGATGCCCCTGTGGATGTATTATAAGCACTAACAAAATTAACCCCTAAAACACTTCTGTTTTCGAGAAAAATTGAATATAAAAATTTACCGGTGCTCCCGGTAAATTTTGGTAAATTTCAAATAGCGCCTACGGCCGTACAATTGTAGCTGCGACCATGAAAATCTCAGAATATGTAGTTGTGATATATAATTTCCAAACGGGAATAGCTAATCGGTCGATTTTTGTCAAGAAACATTGTTTCATAGCTAAATTAATATATTGACCTTGAGAGGGAGCTATACAACATGAAGAGTTAATTATTTATAATTTCATACTTTAGACTCGATTTCAACCGGGACAACGATCAATGTATATTGTAGGAACGCATATGCTTCCAATATGTTAATTTGAATCAAATTCATGACCCCATACCAAAACTTTGTAATACCTTTAACACTAATTACAGGGTTTCTCGCAGTGTAATGGTAGTTTTTCCAACACAAAATTGTATGGTTTTTGACAGTGTAAATGCGCCTGTGTTATGACTTGAGGAATCAGGACTGATTTAAAGCAGGATGTGAAGAATTTACCAGACTCATCTATTCTGTTCAAACTGTTTGGATGAGATTCATTCTTGATCAGACTCCCATTATCTCCATTCCAAAAACCCAGACAAAATCAACTATTAAATCATGACTTAGTCACTTTATCACAGACAATCATATCATTGAGGCTTGGTTGGTGAGAAGCCTTGCGAGGGTTTAAAACTAAGCATGGTCTATTTAAAGTAAGAATGTCGTTATGGTTTCCTCAAAAGTCCCTCTCAAAGAAAAGGGGGAAATCTCCCCCGTCTTGACGCAGCAGTGATTGATGAGACCAAATGTGAACTTCCTGAAGTCCAACAAAGAAACTAATTAGCAAGAAACTGAGAATCTTTAAAATAAAGGCCTTCATTCTGAGTTCAATTCCAAAGGACCTCCCTTACGCTGTGGTGCATTTAGAATGTTTGTAGTGAATGGAAACTGGATGGAAAGTAAGAAAACATTGATCATAATTGTATTGTAAAGTCAGTGTTATTGATTCATCCAAGAATCTTTGATCCAAGATTTCTAATTTCTTCAAAGCTTGGAGACTTAATTCAATTTAAGAAATTGTAGATTGTAAATTTAAATTTGCATTCCATAATGTCATCAATATTATTACAAGTATTTACGTCATAGAGGTTCAGGCAAGAGAGGAAATGTTGAGGATATTTATTACTCTGGCCTTGCTTTTTCGACATTTTAGGAAAATTTTCAATTCCGGTCAAGGAAACTTGTGATTACAAGCTATGGTACAGATCTTGAAATGTCCAGATGTGTTTGGCATCGGAATATCTGGAGAAATAATCAGGATGTTTATAACTTTTAACTACGGGTCACTAGGCTGTCATGATTGACTTTTCCAAAATCATAAACAAATAATTTCTGTTATTTTAATTAATATTGATGTATAGTGATGTCAATCAAATAAGTATTGTACTTCAATCATTTTAGATATTTCACTTCTCTTTGGTGCTGTGCATTCATTATTCACAGTTTAATCTAGCAATATCACAATCGCATAGACAGAGCTGCCAACTAGTACGGATTTCCCGTAATTGGTACGGAAATTAACGACCATTACGGAATGTTGTCTCAAATTACGGATTTAAAAAAAAAAAAAAAAAAAAAGTTTTTTTTTTTTTTTTTTTTTTTTTTTTTTTTTTTTTTTTTAATGAATTAAATATGATTTATCGTAGCGAGTGCTGTGAATAGGAGCCATTTTTCATGATAAACTGTGTTGTGATGACCTGAAATTCAATACTTAACATCTTTGTGTGAGTAAAATCACCAAAAATTTCAGATAATCATGCGTCCGCGCAGTGTTGGCGTGCCGTTTTTTTAGATTCATAGCGCCGCATAAGAAATTACTGATTTATACCCCAAATTACTGATTTTGAGCCTTGTGATTACTGATTTTCTGTTCTGGAGGTTGGCAGCTCTGCATAGACTTTCAAGAATCAACTCGTGGACATTTTCAATATCCTATTGTATTGCCTAGTAGCCTAAGATAGAAATCTTGTTCAGATCACGTAACACATCATGGTAATGTTATGCATTTCAAAAGTTGGTAGACAAGGCCACCCAAATTGCCCTAAGTTAATATTTCAAAAGATTTTACAATCATGTTGGACTGTAATACTTGACACATTTTTGTAGATAACGCCTTTGGGGACCTGGCATTGGGGAATCCTAAAGCGAAAGAAACCAGACTCTTCTATTTTAGACCCAAACACTCACAGACCCTAACCAAATTTCATTGTGGTCGACATTTATTGGCATTCATTGGTTGAAACCATAAGTTATGGATATGTAAGTGTCGTGTCATAATGTCAGATATTATGCATTGGAACAACATGAGAATTTCTTTGGCTCGTTACATTATGAATAGTCTCTGTAATTCTACAAAGTGTTTGTTGTATGATGGGGAAACTATAGGATCTCCTCTTTGCATAAAAAGATAATTATTTTGGCAGGTAGATGTAAAAAAGTCTTTTCCTTTTTTACATCTCATTAGTGATACTGATTAGGGTTGTTTCATGTACAGCCAGGCAGAAGTGATCAAGTTGGGCAATTCCAAAGTATTTGGTCATTTGATGCCCAAAACATGTACTCTATCTTTTTGTTTATACTGTCTTTGTTTATATCAGTATCAGGGCCTTTAATTTAATGCAATAATCCTTGTGATCAGATACATGCTAAAGACTTGGACATGGTCGGTAACAAATTGGGCCAAATAACTTGGTAGTTGCATGCATGCCCTCAAATTTAGTCTGCACTCTTAGAAATATATGTGGTCAAAAAATGACCACATCATGGTCGTTTTTAACCACGTTTTGGTAGTCAACCATGCACCTTTAAATACGACCACAACGGGGTCTTTTTTTTAGACTAGAGCTAAGTTATCTTCATCAGATAGCAGTTGCTCTTCAGTATGGCGTCTGGATGGTGTGTGTTTAGTGTTCTTGGATTATGTAATGTCGTCACAGATGATGGAATGACTTATTTTATTTGGACATCTTCCATGCATATGTCTGGAGGCCCTCTACCTTCCCTCTGGAATCTGGCATCCCTTTCAAAAAGGCCTGTCTTCATCAGCTCGAGATTGCCAATTATCCTGTTATTTGAATTATCTTGATCGCAAATTATCCAGCTAATTTGCGTCTTCATCAGCCAAAAGTTGCAATTAGCGGGATATTTGGTTGGGATTGTCATCCAAAGATATCTTGGAATAGTTGAGTCTTGAGTTTGCAAGTTTGCATTTCCCAAATCAGAAATAGCGGGCTATTTGGCAATCTTGAGATGATGAAGACGCGCCTAAAGAACTTGAGCCATTTCCTATTAGACAACAGGTTCATTGATTAGTTACGTAACTTTCCAGTGGGGAGCATTTTCTGTCACCTCATAAGGCGCATTTATACTGTCAAATACCTCATTTTTAAGGTAATTTCCTTGGTAACATCACTGAAACATCGCGGTCTGGAGGCCCTCTACCTTCCCTCGGGCCTCTGGCATCCCATTCAAAGAACTTGAGCCATTTCCTATAAGACAGCAGGTTCATTGATTAATTATGTAACTTTCAAGTGAAGAGCATTTTCTGTTTCTTCAAATACAAGATTTTCTGTTCAACAGAGAATTTATGATAAAGCATTGAAATAAGAGTTAGCGAGGGATAATTTGTCTTTGATTTCATGAACTGACAAACATAGGCTTATATGAACTTAAGCATATGAGATAACTTGGTTTGTGAAATTATTAACGAATAATGATATGTTACATGTAATATGTATATCATGTTCAGATCTCAGAATTCTTTTAAAACAGTTTTCCTCTCTTTTTGTTTTGTTTTGAGAGAGAGAGAGAGAGAGAGAGGGGGAGAGGGGGGGGGGGGAGAGAAAAGGGTGTGGGGGGGGGGGGTGAGGGTCAATAGATGATGATGCAAAATATACTGGTTCTAATACCCAATCTGCATTTATAAATTGCAGTTATAATCATCAGCTATGCTACTCACTTTGCCAATAGTCCAAAATATTTGTTTTGAGTTTCATAACAAGACAACTGTCTGTTGAAAATTAGCATATTAAGTACCCCAGACCACAGAAGTACTTCCAGGGAGATACCATCCATACCAGCAGACTTTTTGGCTTTGAGAAGAGCCAAGACCAGACTCCAGCCAACATTCCTTTCTGATAACAGGAGGGCTGCTTGACCAGTGTCTCTGGCTTGACCACTCATTTGGCATGCCATGCTGTTCCATTCATACCTTTGTACATGTAAGCGTGACCTGTTTACACTACAGAAAATTAACACAAAATTTGTTTTTAAATTGTCATTTAGAGAATTGTATAGAAGAAAAAAATGAGTTGTACACATGTGAAAAAGTATCATCTAAAAATATGGTTTTAAAGAGGTCAGTATACATGGGTTGAGTGTCATATTAGATGAAAGCTTTCCCATTATCAGTGCATACAAATATTAAGCCAAATCAGTACAAAAACAGTTTTCATGCAGTATGGCATTCACACTAGAAGTGGACCACATTTATATCGCTGACTTTTAATTTGAAAAGATGCTCAAACCCTGGTACAATGTTTCATGATGTGTTTCATAAAATTGACGATCAGGTTAGATAAAAAAGTAATTATTCACTGTATATAGCATTACTGTTTCGGTATAAAGCTGTACAATATATTTTGTTAATTTGAATGAGGGTTATTCACTGCGTATAGCAGTATTGTTTTGGTAAACCTGTACAATGTATTTTGTTAGTCTAAATGGGGCTAGCAAGGGAGAGATTGACTACTCATTAAAAATGCATATTGTTTCATTCACTGGATGTTTGAGATTTCTGAGTTTTGCTCATGTGCAAGTAATCGCTCTGCCAAAATAAAGCAAGTAGAAGGTTTCTTTGTTTATACGTTGACTCTTGTTAGTCTAGACATGTAATTGTATACATGTTGTGTTTGTCAAGATTCATTAACATTGTAAACTTTGTAATTTAATTTAACTGCCCCCCCCCCCCTCTTCCACCAAAAAATAAATTGATGATGAAGCAGAAGAAGAAGCATACATGTACATTAATTTGCATTTTATTTGTCCCGATCAACCAAAGAAATGTTGATGCATTTGCTCTGTTGGCTCAAATGTAATATGTAGACTTTAAATGACTTATGACTTTCACAAATGTAGTACCGGTAATTATTTTCATTGAAATATAAACACTTTCTACAAATAATCAAGTTCTATTTTAATTTTTGATGCACTACAACTTTATTTATATTGACAATGAATCTTTTTGAATTATATCCTTATTGTAATTTTATCGATGATGATGAAATATATATTTCATCGATGATAATGAAATATATATTTCATAATGGGTGCATGTACATTTATGTATGAAATTGGGAGCAGTCTAATTGTGCATTTCTGGGATCTGACCAATTTGTAGGAAGAGAAATTGAGTCAAGGTTATCCCAGATATTTTTGGCCAGATATGTTTTTTATCTGCTACGAATGGGTTTAGCAAATCGGAAGTTATGTACATCCAGAGGTCTGTCTGGAGCTAAAAGGGCTTAACTTTGTATAAATGATATGAGTTAACGCCCCTCTGGCTCCAAGCGGACATATTATGCTGAAAGACTCTTTCATAATTACTTGATGCTGAGCCAGGTAAAGGAAACTGGGTCTGGACTCGGTTGGATTTGTGGTTATATTATCTTTTTTGTAGTGAAGTAGATCATGGACGGTTTGAGATTTAGAGTCAGATTATGATCAACTTTATTGCCTTGTTGAAAACATATTAATTGGCACCAATTGGCATGAAGATGATAAAATATGAATGTGATATAAATAGTGAAGTGTTGCAATCAAGATGGATAGCAAACATCCGTCAATATACAAAATGACAAAATTTGATTAAAAAGTAAAGACCATGAATCTTTATTTTACTTGTTCAAGAAATGAAATGCAAAGAGAAATATGTATCATCATACGCTACTGTAGTTCTAAATATTTATAGCTGATATTCATAGAATGGGTAATATATGATATATTGATGCATTTAGTCGATTGGTACAGGGAATAATTTTCCTGGTATCGCATCGCAATTTGCTATGCATTTTTGCATGACTGCTATACAAAATATCTTTTGTGTAGCAGTTTTCTTCCATAGAAATGTACAGAATTTCATTTGAAATATTTATCCATCGGCTGAAATTGCTAATCAAAAAATTTGAGGAAAATTATTCCTGTGGTATAAAATGCTAATAATGATTACCTACTTTTTTTTCCTTATTCTTTCTTTTCAGAAAAATGACGATGAATTAGACTTCTTTGCGTTCCTAGAAAAGATACAGGTAAGCATTGTTTGTTTGTTTGTTTGTTTATTTATTTTTTATTTACTGGTTTCTTTCTTGATGATCAAATATGAGCATTTGTATACAGGAGAAGCATATTTGTTCTGAAACCACAGAGTTGGCATAAGAAGAAAAAAATTAACAAAATATTGTGAGCATCATGATGTGCATTGAAACATGGCTCATCAATACCTTTTTTTCTTCAAATTTGTTTGTTATTTGAGGGGATCCAATGTAAATGAGGTACCGTAATGGTGTTTTATTATTTCAGTCAATTCTGATTATGACAAAATGACTCAAGAATTGTCAAATTGATCAGGCAAAACAAAGTGACAGAAAACGCTTGTTAGATTGGAGACTTGTTGTACATACACTACTTCTCAAAGATTTTTTTTATTAATGAATCCATCAGTGATCAAGGGGGATATTGCACACCAAGTTTCTCTGACCAAAATGATATAAGGATGAAAATGTCTCTGTCTTGAAAACTTGCACCCTATCCTAACTATCTCTCAAGACTTAACAATTAGCCTTCATGAATTCATCCCAGATAATTAGAAGATGACAAGATTACTGGGGGAAGCTGTTGAATCCTAGTACTCTCCTCTCTCTCTCTCTCTCTCTCTCTCTCTCTCTCCCATCTTCCTCGCTCAGAAACCCCCACTCTCTCTCAACAGTTGCGCTTCATAAATCCACCCATGTACAACATTGTTTCAATGCCTTAGCAGGTGCCATGCTGCTAACTTGTCAAAATAGCCTAAAAAAAGAAAATCATCGATGGGTTTTAGGGACAGACAAGCAAGCTGTCATCTTCCAGCTTCTATTTCACAGGATTAACATGTTTACAAATGCTTTCTTCTCCAGAAAAACAATCAGACAAAATATTGAAAAAACTTGAGCTGCAAGAAAACTGATGAGATAGCAAAAAAACGAAATTTCATATTGGTAAAAAAAAATGTCACATTTGTTAAAATGATAATCAAGAAGAAGGAAGGTAACATTTCACTTTTACGTTTACTGTGAGTGGTTTTTTTTTTCACCAGTAAATTAAAAGCGTTGGGATTTCGTTCCCCAAGTAGGATGCTAATGTAGTTTGATCTTGACAGGAAGAAAATGAATGTTTTCCAGATCATCTCTGCATATTTGTCACTAAGTGGTCATTTCTTGAGTAACTTGTTGATGAGCAGATTCAAAAATATTGATTAAAATTTGTTCATGCACCACAACACCTGATATCATTAAAGATGAAGTTGAGTTCTCGTCATCCGATTGCATTGTGAAATAAAAGGTGTGGAATCGCTCAGAAAAGGTTGATCATCGATCTAGCATATGTGTACTGCAAGGTTCTGGAATCATCAAAATGATAAGAAATTTGGCCCAGTCTTGGTAAAGTAACAAGCACTGTACACAGAAAGATGTATATGGGACTACACAAATGGTGTCAGGGCTACTAACCTTGATTTCCTAATCTTGCTATGCTCATTACTCAGCCAGTATACATTTTCTACCAAAATTGTTTGGCAAATGACATTTTTTTGTAATCTTGAACATTCAGTGTAAGTTTCACTTGATTCTGTGAGAATTCAACTCACCTTTATCATTAAGTTCTTAGTTAGATATTCCCACTTCTTAACATAACATCACCTCAAGAAATGAGAGACAATGATTGCAGGATGTAAAAGGCTTTTGTGATGTTCACAAATGAAATATGAGCGAGCAGGTTTAATTACTGTTACTATCACCGCTGGCAATTTTCAGGAAATGTTTTGATCGTATTTGCCATATAGATATTATTGATTCCTTGTATGCTCGCTTCCTTTGTGCCTAATTATGAGTCAATTTAATCATTCAAGTTCTCGAGCCAATTTATCAAATGGAGACCCAAGCATTCAACAGCTGACCATTACTCTGTAAAACCCTTTATCCTCTCTGTTACTCAACTCCCAACGAAAGATGGAATTATTTGAGCCTCGAGGAGATCGCAGCAAATTACACGGTAATGAATCTCAGCAGACCAGAACTAATTAATTAATTTGCCAAGTTGTCTTTCAGCGGAGGCGAAACAAATTTTCGCTGTGAATCACGCGGGACCCAACCCTTCAGGGGAACCAAAATCAAATTAAATCATCTAAATCAATTTTTGAGAAACTTAAGGATGTTTTGATCACCCTGGGCGTATTTGTCCGCTAGTTAGGTCAGTCTCGTAGTCAGCCCTTTGTCATTTCTCTTTTACTCCCTCGCTTTCTTCCTTTCTTTTGATTCAATTTGGTCTCTTATTGTCTCTCTCCTCTCTTTCTCCCACTCTTCCTTGTTCTCTCTATCTCTCTCTCCCTTTCTCTCCCTCTCTCTTTCTCTCTATCTCTGTCTTTCTCTCTCCTGCTTCATTTTTCTCTCTCCTGTTTCATCTTTCTCTCTCTTGCTTCATCTTTCCTTTGTCTTGTTTTGTATCTTTCTAGAAAAATAATCTTTTTTCATTTTCTTATCATTTTCCATATTCTAGTTTAAGTTTCATTTTCTTATTTTTGCATTTGTTCTTCTACCTCTCTTTCAATCTAATTATTTTCCTACTTTTCTCATTTAGTATCAAGTTTGCCTCACTTTCTGTACATCTTCTTGTCGCCATATTTATGCCTTCCTTTCTTTCTTTCTCCCTCCACCATGGAAGATCACCTTCTAGAAAGTAGGACCATGATTCCGGAATCTATTCCTGTCTTTCTCTTTTTCTCTATTATTTGTAGTCATTTTTGTCCCCGACATGTGTGCGTAGTCTATATGAATTCTCAGCTATTTTTAGAGAGTTCTTGTTCCCCCACACTTCTACTGATTGCATTTGAACTACAAATTTTCACAAAGTGAATTATTATGGAATGACCAACAAAAGAAAACTGATTTTTCTTGTTTGTTGCAAGGGTGCACTCGATGAACCGTTGCTATTAGCAACAGTTGTGCATTGCGCTTATTTTAGGTTGTGTTTATCGACCAAATTTTTGGCTAGAATCAGGTTTCTCAAACGTCTTTCAGGCAAATTTAGAAGGTGATAAACGCAAAGCCTTTTTTAAAGGGCTTTAGATATGGGCATATCTAAAGACGCAAAAAGGTGTGTTTTGAATGTGACATACAGCCAGAATCATGTTTCTGAGAGATGGATAAACGCAAAGCTGTTTTGAACCTCACATACAAATAGGAATTCCCAGGCTAGTTTCCGGTTCGGAGAAATAGCGCGCTGAGCAGCTGCGAAGAGACGAGGCCTTTATTTTTAATTGTGAAGAGACGATAAACGCGACATCCAGCAAATCACGATCGTATAGTGGGGTATGATAGTGGGGTACGATACGTACATATCTAGTGGCAAGCCCCGATAAACGCGCCCTTAGACCCATCATTAATTCGGAAGTGTTGATACTCTCTCTCACTCTTTCTCTCTCTCTCTCTCTCTCTCTCTCTCTCTCTCTCTCTTTCTCTCTCTTTCTCTCTCTTTCTCTCTCTTTCTCTCTCTCTCTCTCTCTCTCTCTCTCTCTCTTTCTCTTTCTCTCTCTCTCTCTCTCTCTCTCTCTTTCTCTCTATATGTTTATGCCCTCTATATAAAACCCTACATATAGGCCTTTCTCTTCTATACTCCTTCAAAAGATTATGCTGTAGCCCGTAGGTCCTACAGTATCTTACTTGGTCCATCCATCCATCCCTTTCATACTAGTACCATGACTATACTAGTACCATGACTATACTAGTACCATGACTATACTACTCATCATCACTTGACTCTCCTGCACTGCTGACACTTGACATCTTGCGTGTCTTTTATTGATGAGTAAATAATCCAAGATAGCATTCTAAACATGCCATCATACCGTACCGACTCTTACTCATCTACGCCGTGATAAGATAAGATGTGGTAGCCTTGTCATCATCTCCATTAAGATTCCGCTGTCCTCTGTATCAGCAGCTTTCTGCTCCCAGTCCTTCTAAACAAAGATAAAGGAAGAAATACAAGGAGATAAATCTAGTAACCAACTCTCCTTGAGTTTTCAGTTTCACCATAGCGTATCCTAAATATAGGATGTGTTTTGACACGATACACCTTGCTTTGTGATAAATGAAAAGGTGAAAAACTAGTAAACAAACCATAGTTCTGTGTTGCGACTCCAGAACAAGAGTTTGAAAAGTGATAATGGAGGGATTTAATCACACCCACCCGATGCAACAAGATTCTGATTTTAAGAAATTGAAATTTCTTGATCAAGAGGATGGGGGAAAGTAGTGCTGCACTGTTGACCTTTCATGGGCTACGCATTCACAATGTAACCTGAGCCTCAAAACATGAATGTTGCAGGAGAATATTTATGAGCTTTTAAAATATCAAAGGGAAAGAGTTTTAGATTACACGTGACATTCAAGTGCTTTGACATTAAACATGGTCTCTAGCTCTGAAGGCTAGAAGAAATGGTACACCTTTACACAAGGCTGGAAGAAGTTTTACACTTTAAGAGTATTTCTGTTTGGTTCATTATATATGTCAAGTTGTCACCATTTGATTGATATTTGAAATGCGTGATAATGATATGTGGGTAGTTTTAGAGATGAAGATTTTTTAAATAGAAAATTCCCTCCCTAATTCATGAATTAAATGAAGTCAATAAAATAAAAGGAGAAATTACGGAGTCCTTGTCACCTGAGACTAAGAGAGTGGAAGTACCGAAGTAATATAATATGATATAGCTTGCATATATACATCGTCCCTATTTCCACAAAGTGACGGTAGTGAGGACAATCGTCACGCAAATTGTATGCAATTTTCCTCACTACCGTCACTTCGTGAAAATAGGGACGATATATACATCAGTTTTTTTTTCTTTCTGCCATGTGTTTCTATGTTGTTCTTTCCTCCATTTTTACAAAGCAATCTAGGTTTAATGATCAGATATGTTCCCTGACTAAATTATGAATAGTACTCCTTTAGTGTTCTTGCTTAATATTTTGTTATCCATTCATTTTTGTGAAGGGATATATTAGACGAACATAGATGTTCTCTGATAAAAGGGAGAAGAATATTAATGTCCTTATATATTCCATGTGTAGATATTCATGTGTTTATGATTGATGTTTAATTTTTTTTTTTTTTTTTTTTTTTTTTTTTTTTTTTTTTTTTTTTTTACTGAGTGATAAAGTAGATGAACAGAGAAGTTCTCTTGTCAAAAGGTAGAATATTAATGTCCTTATCTATTCCATGTTAAAATATTCATATGTTTTATGTTTATTTTTCTTTACAGAGTGATAGAGACAGACAGCTGTTCTCTTATTAAACAGAGAAGAATATTGATGTCCTTATCTATTCCATGTGTAAATATTCATATGTTTTATGTTTCTTTTTCTTTGCAGAGTGATAGATTAGACGAACAGAGATGTTCACTACCCGTGGTTCTCCAACCATCTTTCAGCTCACCCTCACCAAAGCCAAAGGTCAAAGCAAAAAAGTCCAATACAGACAAAATCAAAGAGGTAAATATATAATAATAATAATAATATAGAATATTTAGGAGCGCTAAAAACAATAAGTACCATAGCGCTTACAAATACAAATATATGAAAAGAGGACAAAAAAGTAGAACTAGAAGTAAATCATATAGATCACTGTGGAAAACGGTGAGTTTAGAGGGATCGTTTGAAGGTGGCAAGACAGGTAATTTCCCTTATGGAAAGAGGGATGCTGTTCCAAGTCTTTGATGCAGCTACTGTTAAACCTTTTTCAGCTGTTGAGAGTCTCGATTTGGGAATGATATTAGTTTACATGTGTCGGTTGCTGAGCGAAGATTACGAGTTGGTGTATATATTTGGAAGGTGTCATTAAGATATTCATGTGCCAAATGATTGAGTATTTTGAAAGCATACAAACAGAATATAGCTTTACAGAGAATTGTTATTCCGGTTCTATCTATCTGTTATTACTACGTTGACTTGGAAATAGGTGCAAACAGGACGGGGTGAAGAACGGTAATGAGGAGACCTGACCTCCCATTAGAGGGAACTCACAGAATAATGAGGATGATTACTTCTGTGTATTTGTCTCACTCGCCTTTTTTAAACCTTTGTTTGCCTTTTCCGCTGTCTTTATTTATTTGTCATCGTAATCATCATCATCATCGTCATCATCATCGTCATCTTCATCGTCATCATCATCATTATCATCGTCGTCATCATCATCTTCATCATCATCATCAACATCATCATCATCATCATCATCATCATCATCACCATCATCATCCCTGTCATCGTCATCATTATCATCATCATCATCACCACCACATTATTCACCTTTTTCATATTGTTATCTTTTGTCATTATTTCTTCCTCTTTGTCTTATCTTCTCACTAAACATTCCCATCTTCTTTTTATTGTTTAATTTGTTTTGTGTTATTTTTGTTAATCATTTCAAAAAAAAATTCAGCTTCTCTCGTTTCCACCTGTTACATTCATTAACAAATTCTGTAAAACAATTTTTCATCACAAATGATACCAAGTAGAGAATAGATGTGAAGGGGTCTGACAGCTTTAAGTCCTCTCTGAGGTACTTAGTAATGAGGAATTTTGCCTTACCAAAGGGCGAATCCTCTTCCCTATTACTTGACCACTGCTCTTACCACTGAGCCATCTTCCCTCCTATGTCTAACGCTACCATGTTTATTCATCTTCACTCTTCCTCCCTGTCCATCCCACAGTTACTCAAGAGAGAGGGCCCCTACCCGTCCATCGTCCAGCCCATCGACCGGGGATACTGGCTCGATGGAACGATCACCCTCAACGCAGAGGACACGAGATCGGAGAAGGATGTCGACACCAGTCTCGACGAGGAAGCCTGCAGTATGGTCACGTCATCGTCGCTCAACGGAAGTTTGTCGGCAGCCGGGGATATCTCGCCTTCACCGTCGTGTTCGTCCATTCCGTTCCCGCTGCAACTGGAGTTTGACGACAGCAATCAGATGTACAGGAGATATTTCCTTGGAAAGGTAAAATAAACGAAGCATAATATTTATTATCCTGCATCTGTTGCATTAAGACAAATTTACCTTGTCTGTTGAGAGCCAGAAGGGTGTTAACTTGTATACTTTAATACAGAGTTAACGGCCTTTTGCCTGTCAACAGTTGAACAAATGGTGATGGTGTACAGAGGTTTTATAATAACGACAATACCTACTGACTTATTGTTTTGGGTATATTTCACTAACCAGCATGTTGCCCTCTTCTATTGGTCGGGTTGCATTATTTATACTTGGGCAACATATTCTATATCCACGTCAAAGCCAGTCAATATTATGTAAAGATTTCATAGTTTTTTGCAGTTATTAGATTTCTTCTGTAATCAACTGATTTCAGCTGTCTTAAAACTCATTCATGATTTTTCCAGACAAAGCATGAAGGATAAATACTAGGATGTGCGTGTATTTTCATCGAGTCAGATTATCTTAAAAGAGCAGTGTGCCCCTTTGCAAATCTACAGAAGTCACTGGCCCCCTTGGACCTCTCTGCTTGATCTGTTCTATCATATTTCTGTAAAAACATTGTTAAAGATAGATCGAGAGGCTGTGTAATTAAAAGGAATGTGTTTCTTGGCACACGCTCACTGTCATTGAGAAGGGCAAAGCTTATTCTGATTCTCAGCCAGGTGATTCATATTCAGGCATTGCAGTGTGATTCTTTTCTGGATGATTATGGGGCTAATTCCTGGGTTTATGGTTTTCCAATTATGATGATAACATGCTTTGGCTGTTGATCTGTAAACTCATTCATTCCTGATTATAGTCTGTACTTTAAGAATTTAGCATTCATCAAAAATAAGGGAATGTGTCCCATAATATTGAACCCCCCCCCCCCCCCTTCAAATTCATTTCAAACTGTTTGGGATATATTCCTTACCTGATACAGCATGTATCAGAAATACTGTTGTTGTTGTTGTTGTTGTTTGGGGGTTCTAGAGTGAAACAAGTTAGTGTGTCATTCTGTCTAAAGTTTAACTGTGCTGTTTCTTCCTTGTCCATGGTTGCATGACTGATAGCTTATTATGAAGAAATGTTGCGGAAATCACAGTAAATCAAATTTCATGATTTATAGCTTACTATCAGGAAATGTTGTGGAAATGACAAGAAATCAAATTTCTTTAAAGACTTTAGCATAATTTCCTTCTGCTCCACTTCTTGTTGCAAACAGAGTACTTCCTTCAAAATATTATATTTCAGGGTGTATGGACTGATGATTGTATTACAGTGGTATCACTTCCGGTAATGACTACTCCACACCTGTTTGTTCTAGATATTGTTTGGTAAGAGACGGAAGGACATTAACTGATGATGTTTAACATATTGCAGATTTTAACGTCTTTTAGCTCCCAGCAGACAATATTGTCCTTTTCAGTGAAAAAAATTCATGGGGCTCAGGGCGAATTTGCCCCGAAATGCCCAAAAGAGCCCCCGAAAATCAGAAAAGAGCCCCCGTAAATTTGCATAGAGTTCAATGCAAAAAATTTTTTTAGAGTGCTTTTTATGCAGGCAAGCTTGAAAAGTAGCCCCCAAAAAATAAATATTAATTTTTTCCCTGGTCCTTTTGAGCTGTTTGCACAAAAATATTGTCTGTTCAGAACCAGAAAGGTGCGTTGATTCTGCGTTTTGGGGTATATAAGTTAATGCCCTTCTGGCTTTAAACAAACTGAAATTACAGGGATTTGATAGCATTTTTTTTTTTTTTTTTTTTTTTTTGGGGGGGGGGGGGGCGATGTCATTTTATATCATGATAAGTAAATGATGGGCTTTGGTTTACATGAAAAGCAGGTGGCATGAAACCATTTGTTATCTTGATTGAAAACGTGAAAGTTCACAGTTCAGTCTATCAGGAACTTTAAACGGTTCCTACAAAATACCATGCATGGGGGGATACTAGCTGGTAGGAAACGGGTAATAACTGACCCTCCGTGAATCAGAAGGGGGCACTATCTGTCCTAAGGTCATGAACTAAGGGGCGTTTCAGCGACCCTGTTAGTAATAATGACCTTAAAAGTACCTTACCTCTCAAAAGAGGGACAGATTCAACCACAGTAGGCATATATTAAATTCAATATCTTTAACCCAGCCAAGTTTTAGAATTGCTTTTGAATTTAAGTCTGATATGTTTGTATCTATTGAGATCAGGGGGGTGTTTCACAAAGATCCTAAGTAGAACTTAACACTAAGTTGGACTTAAAAATTATGGAAAGCCATTAGCATCTTTGAAAATATTTTGTAAAAGTTATTTTGAAAGGCATTAATTGTTTATTCAAATCATTCATATTTTCTATCATCAAGGAGATTTCATGTTCTGGATGTGGAATTTATAAAAAGTCTAAAATACTTGAATTTCTGCTTTTGAATATATTTCATTTTAAGACTCCAATGGCTGTCCATAACTTTTAAGTCCAACTTAGAGTTAAGTTCTACTTAGGATCTTTGTGAAACACCCCCCAGAAGGGTGCTAATTCTTATCTGTTTATGTAGAGTTAATACCTTTCTTGCTTTTAACTTACCAGCATTATGTTAAGGAATTCTATTTTTGTATTTTTACATGGAGCTAAACAATGATAGCATAGACTTAACCCTTCTACTACTTTATACAGGAAACCACTTGTGTCTCGGTAAGCAATGGGTTATAAAGTTATGAAGTGCTGACTTTAGAATCATTCCGTACATAGACCGGCCATACCTCTATTACGCTTTCCAAAGCCTCTTGATAAATGATAATATTTAATGGTGATCTTCCTAAAACCTTCGACATCAACCAACCTTTTAATGAATTCCTAAACTCCTTCAGGTTCCATCATCAAAGAATGTGTCATGGTCGCTTAAAATAAGACAATGGATCCTGAGTCATAAAGATTATATTTTGATCTCCTTGGAGATGGATTTCAAAGTGACCTCGTTGGAGGTCGTTTTATTGTTTAATTATTAAAGGCGTTCCCCTTCCTTTGTCTTTTATTGCATTGCTAATTAATTTTTATTCAGCATATTTAGACAATGGCGATGTATGTCACTCTCATTTCCAAATTGTAAACAAGACACGTCCCCAAGGAAACATAATCTAGGCACATAGTGTGACATTTTGTTGTTGTTGAGTAGTCATCATACTTTGGCACTAACTAGTTAATTGGATAGAAGTGAAAATATCTTGCTTTTAATTGAAACAAGTCACAAATTTGTGTGTATATAGAAATTATAGATTTCTTTAAATCTACGATCACTATTATTCAAATGCCTTTATATTTGTCAAGATGAAAGCTTATCTTGTTTTGTTGTCTATCAATTAATAATCGTTCTTCCTCTTGTAAATGAAATCCTTCATTCTAAACCCAGACTAAGGTATCACGTGCATACCATTTCTGCATCTGCAAAACACGAGACCACTGTCTAGTCGCAACTAAACGGTCCATTACAACACTGGCTTCTCTCCATCCTTTATATCTCTTGTCCTCAAATTAGACAATAGTCTGTACAGGTAGAAGAAAATAGGACCATAAATCACAAGTGTCTCTGAGACTAATTTAATATAGGTTGAGATACTGCAGACATTTTGGAATTGAGACTTTGTTATTAGATGATTGATTATGTTAGTGTCAATTGGTTTTATTACCGGTACCGGTATTTGTACTTTCTTTTATCTCCTTTCCTTTTCTTTTTTCTCGGTCTAGTACATTGAAATCTTTCCTTATTTGAGTTTTCTTTGAAGTTTTCATTTCCTCTTTGTCTGTGCACTTTTAAGGATTGAAATCCGTTATATTCACTCTTCTCTTTTTTTCAATTCCCCTTTTTTTGTTTTGCTAGGACCTTCAATACCCTTCTTTTTCTTTCTCTCTGTGTAGGTAGATTCTAGCTTGTTCTTAGTCTTGAAGCACATTTTAAATGACCTCCTAACTTATCCCCTCAAGTGCAAAGTTTAGTCATCATGCTCCGTAAAGCCAAGTATATGCCACATTCAACTCTCATCCTTGAAATAAACTGAATTTTCCCTCTTATTAACCTGGTTCAGTAGAACCAATCAGTGCAGTTTAGAACCCAGTTATATATCAGCAAGACCCGTCGGTGACTGTCTATACTTGCATCGTGCTCCAAATGAAAATTGAACCTCTTTTTCTACAAATTTCCTCAATTCTCAGTCTGGCCAATCTTTATTACTGGCAAAATGGTCCTTTCTAGAAAACATAGCATAGAGTTTTCATGAGTCCAAGCATTTCATAACAGCCCCATGAGGTCATATGTAATGAGTTTGCACCCCACCTGCTCCATATGTGCAGAATATAGTTGTATATTTTGAATAAAACTCTGCACTTTTTTGTGTGTGCAGTGTACATTATAATGAGCATGTTTACTTGCATTCACAGAAAAGGTACCATTTAAAGAGAGAGAGGGCCGCAAGAGTTTAAACATACATGTATGTATGAAAGACAAATGTTCACTTGATAAGACACCCGAAGAGAGATGGAAATGATTTTAACCCGATGATCGATGAACAGGCATTGCCCTACAAGCATGGATGGATTAAAGTAAAGTAAAGTAAAGTAAGAGGCAGTTCAGTGCCCTAATGCAGTCATAGTATTATACTGTGCTTTGTATTTTCTTTGAGTATAATCAGGAAATGTTCTAAATTGGTTCTTCATTAGTCCCGCTATCCTCCACGTTGGGGCATTATTAGTGCTTTAAGAACCTGCAGTGTCTTGTGACTCACATTGCATTGTTTCTTTAATCGAATAAGGAGGGGAAGAATATAGAGGAAAGGGGGTTAGTTAGGAGAGAGCTATATGGGGAGGGGTGTCCCCATTGGCAGGGTTTTTAATCTTTGGGCTGTTAACTTGATCGGCAAAATTGATATAATTGTTTCTGGAGCCTATGTGAGTGAGGTTGATGAGTTGAGCACAACTATTTCACTTCTAACCCTTAGTTGTTAGGAACCGTATTGGACTGCTAAAGTGTTGTTCTACAGACTCTGTTTG